AAGGTGCGCCAGAGTGTACTGTGTCTCTGCGCGAGTATGCAATTCTTATAGATGCAAGCGTGCACGCGTATGTACGTGTATGAGTTTACATGTGTGTGTACTGTAGATGTGGGGAGCGGTAGTGTAGTGCTTAGCGCACTACGCTGCAAACCCGGCAACCAGAGTTCGATTCCCGCACTGAGCCGATTCTGTCACTTGCATGGCATTTTGCAGTAAGAGGCGATCGCGGTCTGTGTGGTTGCCCCATAAAGGTTTTTGAAAGTTTTATGTGGCCCTCGGGAAGGAAAAGGTTTCCCACCTCTGGTTTACAGCGACGGATTGCGGTGCGCCCTCTGTCTCCGCGCGTCACCGTCGTGAGGATTTATGGGACACGCGTGGCTGCTCTTCCCGCGCCCACGAGGGGAGGAGGGGACGGAGCTCCCCGTATTCCTTGCCGAGTTCGAATTTTAAATCCTCTCCCTTGCTCAAACCATCGTGGGGCGCTGCAGATATCCGTCACCAATGTGCTACACAGAAGGGCAATTTCCTGTAGCAATTTATATATTTTATTCATAAGTTAAACTTAATTTCATGGATTTGTTCTAAGTTCCTGGAACTGAAAATAATTAGCGTAGCAAAACTTCGAGTATCGAACTGCTCAGTTTGGATGTGAGAAGAGTTGTTTACTCACCGGTCAGCTGACACTTATACGTGGCCCGTTAAACGGTGTACACGCAACTATTTTATCTATTTAGCTATGTGGTGGGTGGAGGGTCTCATGACACATATTTGACCAGATTATTACATATGTATGATATGTGTGCTCACTGATTTAATGTCCGCGCACACAACAGCAGCAACCACTAACTGGCGTCGACGTTCCTTTAAAGTGCTGCACGTTTCGCAAGCGGAGAGAAGGGAGAGCCCTAACTGTGGAACAGAAGATCTGGCGCTTTGTATGGAGTGACAAGCCATGTCGCTTCCACACATCGTTATGCCGTTCGACTGATGAGGAGTGAAATCTCCGTTGCCAAACTGCAGCTGGTCATACGCACACTGCTCATGTTCGGACACCTCTCTCTTGGCAACTGCCCCATCACTCATGGAGAGTGGAGTATTTGATGGCAAAATACTCAGGCAGACGCGTTGTGGTGGTGGGTGGTAGTCATGCCTCATCTCTTAAGGAGCAAGTTCCAGGCTCAACAGTAGCGTCTCAAACTCCTCCGAGTGAGAAGCAATTACCAGATCATCAACATACATAACATAGCAAAAGGGAGCTATCCCTTGACTACATCCGTACATTGATCATCTTCCCTTTGTAACAGCTGTACCAGATGGAAATTCCACCAGTACAGTCATGGGAAGCTTCTTGAACGACGTAGTCAAAGAAGATGCGAAATTGTATGCGAGTGAGAGGACATTCAAGTGCTGATAGCGGGCACATGTGAAGGCCGGAACGGCACACGACGGGGTGAGTGGCCAGCACCACGCCCGGCCGCCTTTGTCTTCCTAGTGCTGATTAGATTTTTAGATTAGATCAGATTTCATTTATTTCGACAGGAAGGGCCTAATACGTGTTCGGGCTCTGTTCAATTGGCGTCCTGCAATGTTTATACTCTGCAACAGGTACTCATTTGAGGCTGAGTCGACCTATTGGGAAACAAAAGATCAGTTCAAATATTGGCGCAGTGCACTAACCACTGCTCCAGCACTCCGCACACAGACAGTCTCCACACGCCAAGCTTCCCACATTTCCATAATAGATTCCCATTCCTCGCGATCATTAATTAGACACCGTCCATTCATTCCCACTGTATTAGGTGTCCATTCACTTCTTAATTGTGCAGTCAATTCGCATGTAAATCAGGCGAGACGCGAGGGGCGGGGGAGAGCGGAGGGGAGGTGAGGAGCACGGGGAGTGGACTCCAAAATTCACTGTCGTAGAGATCTGTGAGCTAAAGCGATATCCGCTCACTCTCATGGAGTTCATTGGCTCAAACGTTAACCGCACTTGGCAACCAACCCATACCCCAAGCCGTACACACCGCCTCTCGTGCTGTGCTCACCCGCACGCACCGATATGAACACACAAGTATCGACCCAAATAACCACAACGCACACAGCACAAAGGGTCGACTTGGGTGAGGCTCAGTATTGGTTCAGTCACCGATGTTGGCCGTGAGCAGAAATATAAATCGGGCAGCAGGGTGCGTGGCGCAGGACGCGAACCGCGCGGGACTCTGCCTGGGCCTGGTCGATCATCCCTCGTGCTTCGGGGAATTGAATGAATAAAACAAACTATCAGACCAAAGGTGAAAGAGTTTCTCTAAAGATCGACCTCGTTCCCATAACGACGCATGAGGAGCTCTCCAATGAGTCCACGCTCACTGAAGCCCGTGGAGCGGTCTAGCAGGAGGTGTCCCGGCAATCGCGGGCCGCACGAACTGTCGAGCGCCGCGTGTAGAACTGCAACAGCGGAGTTTTCGCCCCGCCACTGGCGAAAGTCACCTGGGCGCGGTAATCTTCCCTTATCCTCTCCCCTCATCTCCTGCCACTTCTCTCCTCCTCTCTCTCTCCTCTCCTTGCCTCTTCTCCTTTCTCCTCTCCCCTCACCTCCTTGACTCTTCTCTCATCCTCTGCTCCGAGGGGTCAGATGCCGTGATGGAGCGAGGCATCGAGTTGGGACGACGGGGCTAACACTGTCGCACAGAGGGGAAACGCCAAGATAAGTGATCAGATGTGTGCAGGGATGGGGTGCGCATTAGAAATATACCGCCAGCACGAGCCGGGTTCGCTCACCACGTGTCCAAGAAAAGCGATATCTCCAAGCAAGGGATTACAAAAGGCCAGGCAAGGGAGGGATGTAAGCTCACTACTCAGTCATTCAATCGCTCATGGTACGCACTGCCACACTGAGAAAGACAAAGATCCCCGTATAGCCTTAGCAAACTGGAGGGGACAAGTACTGTTAGCGAGTAGACACACCGACAGGCATACGGCTACACGCGTCTCTCTATGATCATTGAATATTCTTGCCTAGAAAATCCCTTGGGATTGAACGTCTCGCTTGCAACGGTGGCGAGCGTGTGGACGGTGTCCACGGACAGCGTGTGCACGGTGTCCACGGACAGCGTGTGCACGGTGTCCACGGACAGCGTGTGCACGGTGTCCACGGACAGCGTGTGGACGGTGTCCAGAGACAGCGTGCGGACGGTGTCCACGGACAGCGTGCGGACGGTGTCCACGGACAGCGTGTGGACGGTGTCCACGGACAGCGTGCGGACGGTGTCCACGGACAGCGTGTGGACGGTGTCCAGAGACAGCGTGCGAACGGTGTCCAGGGACAGCGTGTGGACGGTGTCCAGGGACAGCGTGTGGACGGTGTCCACGGACAGCGTGCGGACGGTGTCCACGGACAGCGTGCGGACGGTGTCCACGGACAGCGTGCGGACGGTGTCCAGAGACAGCGTGCGGACGGTGTCCAGAGACAGCGTGCGGACGGTGTCCACGGACAGCGTGTGGACGGTGTCCACGGACAGCGTGCGGACGGTGTCCACGGACAGCGTGCGGACGGTGTCCACGGACAGCGTGTGCACGGTGTCCACGGACAGCGTGTGGACGGTGTCCAGAGACAGCGTGCGGACGGTGTCCAGGGACAGCGTGTGGGCGGTGTCCACGGACAGCATGTGGACGGTGTCCACGGACAGCGTGCGGACGGTGTCCACGGACAGCGTGTGGACGGTGTCCACGGACAGCGTGGACGTGACATGCGGACTTGGTGTGGGAAGCTCGGCGTAATCGCGCGAATCGCAGAGCACGAAGGCGAGTTTACAGGTGGTCCCCCTCGCACGCGAGATGTCCCATCTCACGTGGTTCGCCAGGTCGGATATATCGACAAAATAAGGAGCGGGCTCGGCTTTTGAGCGCTACAAGAGTCGAGGATTAAATGAAGGACCTCCTAATTCCTCTCCCTCCCTACCCCTCGTCCCCTTCCTCCTGGCGTTACGGGTCTGTGGGACAAACTCCGACGATTGTCCACCTCCCCTCGTCACCAGCGGCGACTCAAACACTCGGGTTGCTTCGTGGTGCAAAGTGAAAGCCCCCGGACACCAGGCGCCGTCGGGCGCGGCGACTCGCCCACGGGAGAGCAACGCAGCGCGTGGGAGCCTTTAGCTGGGTAGGGGAGCTCAAGGGAGCCGCGGCGGAGAGAGGGTGGAGTGTGAGAGAGGGTGGAGTGTGAGAGAGGGTGGAGTGTGAGAGATGGTGGAGTGGGAGAGAGGGTGGAGTGTGAGAGAAGGTGGAGTGTGAGAGAGGGTGGAGTATGAGAGAGGATGGAGTGTGAGAGGGGGTGGAGTGTGAAAGAGGGTGGAGTGGGAGAGATGGTGGAGTGTGAGAGAGGGTGGAGTGGGAGAGAGGGTGGAGTGTGAGAGAGGGTGGAGTGTGAGAGAGGGTGGAGTGTGAGAGAGGGTGGAGTGTGAGAGAGGGTGGAGTGGGAGAGAGGGTAGAGTGTGAGAGAGGGTGGGGTGGGAGAGAGGGTGGAGTGTGAGAGAGGGTGAAGTGTGAGAGAGGGTGGAGTGTGAGATAGGGTGGAGTATGAGAGAGGGTGGAGTGGGAGAGATGGTGGAGTGTGAGAGAGGGTGGAGTGTGAGAGAGGGTGGAGTGTGAGAGAGGGTGGAGTGGGAGAGATGGTGGAGTGTGAGAGAGGGTGGAGTGTGAGAGAGGGTGGAGTGTGAGAGAGGGTGGAGTGTGAGAGAGGGTGGAGTGTGAGAGAGGGTGGAGTGGGAGATATGGTGGAGTGTGAGAGAGGGTGGAGTGTGAGAGAGGGTGGAGTGGGAGATATGGTGGAGTGTGAGAGAGGGTGGAGTGTGAGAGAGGGTGGAGTGTGAGAGAGGGTGGAGTGTGAGAGAGGGAGGATTGGGAGAGAGGGTGGAGTGTGAGAGAGGGTGGAGTGTGAGAGAGGGTGGAGTATGAGAGAGGGTGGAGTGTGAGAGAGTGTGGAGTGGGAGAGAGTGTGGAGTGGGAGAGAGGGTGGAGTGGGAGAGAGGGTGGAGTGTGAGAGAGGGTGGAGTGGGAGAGAGGGTGGAGTGGGAGAGAGGATGGAGTGTGAGAGAGGGTGGAGTATGAGAGAGGGTGGAGTGTGAGAGAGGGTGGAGTGTGAGAGAGGGTGGATTGGGAGACAGGGTGGAGTGTGAGAGAGGCTGGAGTGTGAGAAAGGGTGGAGTATGAGAGAGGGTGGAGTGTGAGAGAGGGTGGAGTGGGAGAGAGGGTGGAGTGGAAGAGAGGGTGGAGTGTGAGAGAGTCTGGAGTGGGAGAGAGGGTGGAGTTGGAGAGAGGGTGGAGTGGGAGAGAGGGTGGAGTGGGAGAGAGGGTGGAGTGTGAGAGAGGATGGAGTATGAGAGAGGGTGGAGTGTGAGAGAGGGTGGAGTGGGAGAGATAGTGGAGTGTGAGAGAGGGTGGAGTGGGAGAGAGGGTGGAGTGTGAGAGATGGTGGAATGTGAGAGAGGGTGGAGTGTGAGAGAGGGTGGAGTGTGAGAGAGGTTGGAGTGTGAGAGAGGGTGGAGTGTGAGAGAGGGTGGAGTGTGAGAGAGGGTGGAGTGTGAGAGAGGGTGGAGTGGGAGATATGGTGGAGTGTGAGAGAGTGTGGAGTGTGAGAGAGGGTGGAGTGGGAGAGAGGGTGGAGTGTGAGAGAGGGTGGAGTGGGAGATATGGTGGAGTGTGAGAGAGTGTGGAGTGTGAGAGAGGGTGGAGTGGGAGAGAGGGTGGAGTGTGAGAGAGGGTGGAGTGTGAGAGAGGGTGGAGTGTGAGAGAGGATGGAGTGTGAGAGAGGGTGGAGTGTGAGAGAGGGTGGAGTATGAGAGAGGGTGGAGTGTGAGAGAGGGTGGAGTGGGAGAGAGGGTGGAGTGGGAGAGAGGGTGGAGTGTGAGAGAGGGTGGAGTGGGAGAGAGGGTGGAGTGGAAGAGAGGGTGGAGTGTGAGAGAGGGTGGAGTGGGAGAGAGGGTGGAGTGGGAGAGAGGGTGGAGTGGGAGAGAGGGTGGAGTGTGAGAGAGGATGGAGTATGAGAGAGGGTGGAGTGTGAGAGAGGGTGGAGTGGGAGAGATGGTGGAGTGTGAGAGAGGGTGGAGTGGGAGAGAGGGTGGAGTGTGAGAGATGGTGGAGTGGGAGAGAGGGTGGAGTATGAGATAGGGTGGAGTGTGAGAGAGGGTGGAGTGTGAGAGAGGGTGGAGTGTGAGAGAGGGTGGAGTGGGAGAGAGGGTGGAGTGTGAGAGAGTGTGGAGTGTGAGAAAGGGTGGAGTGTGAGAGAGGGTGGAGTGGGAGATATGGTGGAGTGTGAGAGAGTGTGGAGTGTGAGAGAGGGTGGAGTGGGAGAGAGGGTGGAGTGTGAGAGAGGGTGGAGTGTGAGATATGGTGGAGTGTGAGAGAGGGTGGAGTGTGAGAGAGGGTGGAGTGTGAGAGAGGATGGAGTATGAGAGAGGGTGGAGTATGAGAGAGGGTGGAGTGTGAGAGAGGATTGAGTATGAGAGAGGGTGGAGTGTGAGAGAGGGTGGAGTGTGAGAGAGGGTGGAGTGTGAGAGAGGGTGGAGTGTGAGAGAGGGTGGAGTGGGAGAGAAGGTGGAGTGTGAGAGAGGGTGGAGTATGAGAGAGAGTGGAGTGGGAGAGAGGGTGGAGTGTAAGAGAGGGTGGAGTGTGAGAGAATGTGGAGTGTGAGAGAGGGTGGAGTGTGAGAGAGGGTGGAGTATGAGAGAGGGTGGAGTGTGAGAGAGGGTGGAGTGTGAGAGAGGATGGAGTATGAGAGGGGGTGAAGTGGAAGAGAGGGTGGAGTGTGAGAGAGGGTGGAGTGGGAGAGAGGGTGGAGTGTGAGAGAGGGTGGAGTGTGAGAGATGGTGGAGTGTGAGAGAGGGTGGAGTGTGAGAGAGGGTGGAGTGTGAGAGAGGGTGGAGTATGAGAGAGGGTGAAGTGGAAGAGAGGGTGGAGTGTGAGAGAGGATGGAGTGTGAGAGATGGTGGAGTGTGAGAGAGGGTGGAGTGGGAGAGAGGGTGGAGTGTGAGAGAGGGTGGAGTGGGAGAGAGGGTGGAGTGTGAGAGAGGGTGGAGTGGGAGAGAGGGTGGAGTGTGAGAGATGGTGGAGTGGGAGAGAGGGTGGAGTATGAGAGAGGGTGGAGTGTGAGAGAGGGTGGAGTGTGAGAGAGGGTGGAGTGTGAGAGAGGGTGGAGTGTGAGAGAGTGTGGAGTGTGAGAAAGGGTGGAGTGTGAGAGAGGGTGGAGTGGGAGATATGGTGGAGTGTGAGAGAGTGTGGAGTGTGAGAGAGGGTGGAGTGGGAGAGAGGGTGGAGTGTGAGAGAGGGTGGAGTGTGAGAGAGGGTGGAGTGTGAGAGAGGGTGGAGTGTGAGAGAGGATGGAGTATGAGAGAGGGTGGAGTATGAGAGAGGGTGGAGTGTGAGAGAGGATTGAGTATGAGAGAGGGTGGAGTGTGAGAGAGGGTGGAGTGTGAGAGAGGGTGGAGTGTGAGAGAGGGTGGAGTGGGAGAGAGGGTGGAGTATGAGAGAGGGTGGAGTATGAGAGAGGGTGGAGTGTGAGAGAGGGTGGAGTGTGAGAGAGGATGGAGTATGAGAGAGGGTGAAGTGGAAGAGAGGGTGGAGTGTGAGAGAGGGTGGAGTGTGAGAGAGGGTGGAGTGTGAGAGAGGGTGGAGTGTGAGAGAGGGTGGAGTATGAGAGAGGGTGAAGTGGAAGAGAGGGTGGAGTGTGAGAGAGGATGGAGTGTGAGAGATGGTGGAGTGTGAGAGAGGGTGGAGTGGGAGAGAGGGTGGAGTGTGAGAGAGGGTGGAGTGGGAGAGAGGGTGGAGTGTGAGAGAGGGTGGAGTGGGAGAGAGGGTGGAGTGTGAGAGATGGTGGAGTGGGAGAGAGGGTGGAGTATGAGATAGGGTGGAGTGTGAGAGAGGGTGGAGTGTGAGAGAGGGTGGAGTGTGAGAGAGGGTGGAGTGTGAGAGAGTGTGGAGTGTGAGAAAGGGTGGAGTGTGAGAGAGGGTGGAGTGGGAGATATGGTGGAGTGTGAGAGAGTGTGGAGTGTGAGAGAGGGTGGAGTGGGAGAGAGGGTGGAGTGTGAGAGAGGGTGGAGTGTGAGAGAGGGTGGAGTGTGAGAGAGGGTGGAGTGTGAGAGAGGATGGAGTATGAGAGAGGGTGGAGTATGAGAGAGGGTGGAGTGTGAGAGAGGATTGAGTATGAGAGAGGGTGGAGTGTGAGAGAGGGTGGAGTGTGAGAGAGGGTGGAGTGTGAGAGAGGGTGGAGTGGGAGAGAGGGTGGAGTATGAGAGAGGGTGGAGTATGAGAGAGGGTGGAGTGTGAGAGAGGGTGGAGTGTGAGAGAGGATGGAGTATGAGAGAGGGTGAAGTGGAAGAGAGGGTGGAGTGTGAGAGAGGGTGGAGTGTGAGAGAGGGTGGAGTGTGAGAGAGGGTGGAGTGTGAGAGATGGTGGAGTGTGAGAGAGGGTGGAGTGGGAGAGAGGGTGGAGTGTGAGAGAGGGTGGAGTGTGAGAGAGGGTGGAGTGTGAGAGAGGGTGGAGTATGAGAGAGGGTGAAGTGGAAGAGAGGGTGGAGTGTGAGAGAGGATGGAGTGTGAGAGATGGTGGAGTGTGAGAGAGGGTGGAGTGGGAGAGAGGGTGGAGTGTGAGAGAGGGTGGAGTATGAGAGAGGGTGGAGTGTGAGAGATGGTGGAGTGTGAGAGAGGGTGGAGTGGGAGAGAGGGTGGAGTGTGAGAGAGGGTGGAGTGGGAGAGAGGGTGGAGTGTGAGAGAGGGTGCAGTGTGAGAGAGGGTGGAGTATGAGAGAGGGTGGAGTGTGAGAGATGGTGGAGTGTGAGAGAGGGTGGAGTGGGAGAGAGGGTGGAGTGGGAGAGAGGGTGGAGTGTGAGAGAGGGTGGAGTGTGAGAGGAGGGGAGGGAGCGATGGAGGGGGGTGTCACCTTTATCCTCACCCCCCACACCCACGCATCCCCCCATCCTCCCCTCCTCTAGATCCCTGACCCGCTCTATAATCACAGCCATCTGCTCGGAGCGACAAGTGCAGATGTGTTCTTATCCTCATTTGATTTTTTTCCGCTTTTTAATTTTTGCTCTTATTTTGACAAGTGAGCAATCCCTGTTCTCTCCCCCACTCCTCCTGCTCACCACTCCCACCACCGTACTGCTTGTTTCTCCAGAACACGGTGCCTCGACTCATTAACGCACGCGGTGCACGTAAGTTAGTTTGTATCATAATCAAACCATCTGTGTTATTATCACGTATCTATATACATAAAAATAAAAAAATGTATGTGGGTTTGTTTTTTTAGGTTTGTGTGTTCGCGTGCTTGCGAATGATTTGCCTCTCCATCGGTGGGGTTTACGTTAAAAAAAACAGCCAGGTACCACGCCGTAAGCCCCGCGGTGAGCAAGCGCTATTCCTTTTCACATCCGTGAACTTACAATTTGTTTAATTAGCAATTTTAGTGCGCTTCCCTTCTATGTATTTATTATGACACACTGACGACCGTACCAACTCACGCGCCTTTGGTGGGGGGGGCAGGCCCATGCCAAGTCGCACGCCTTTGGTGGGGGGGTAGGCCCATGCCAAGTCGCACGCCTTTGGTGGGGGGGTAGGCCCATGCCAAGTCGCACGCCTTTGGTGGGGGGGTAGGCCCATGCCAAGTCGCACGCCTTTGGTGGGGGGGTAGGCCCATGCCAAGTCGCACGCCTTTGGTGGGGGGGTAGGCCCATGCCAAGTCGCACGCCTTTGGTGGGGGGGTAGGCCCATGCCAAGTCGCACGCCTTTGGTGGGGGGGTAGGCCCATGCCAAGTCGCACGCGTTCGGTGGGAGTCAGGGGGACATTTTCTTTCGCGTTAGAAATGCTATAAAAATACAGTAAACGCTGACGTTAATTCTTCACTGTGTGATGTCCCCCCCCACCCCGAAGCGTGTAGTTATTACTATTATACAGTCGCTAGATGCTACCACTATAGGCCGTAGATATTACAGCAGAGCGGCAAAGCAGAACGTGGCTGGGGGGGGGGGTGTCAGGGGTAGCAGCCCAGCCCCAGCCTGCCAAGGTGCCACCTCGGCAGGCTGGACAATCTAGGCGAGGCCGGAGGCTCTGCACGGGATTAGGCCTCACCACGCTACTCTGCCAGGTGAGTACTTTGTGCTATAGAGTCGATAAATGCTGCTAGTCAGAATGTACTACTGTAATCATAGCAGGTACCACCACAGTATGCACTGCTGTAATCATAGCAGGTACCACCACAGTATGCACTGCTGTAATCATAGCAGGTACCACCACAGTATGCACTGCTGTAATCATAGCAGGTACCACCACAGTATGCACTGCTGTAATCATAGCAGGTACCACCACAGTCAGTATGCACTGCTGTAATCATAGCAGGTACCACCACAGTATGCACTGCTGTAATCATAGCAGGTACCACCACAGTCAGTATGCACTGCTGTAATCATAGCAGGTACCACCACAGTATGCACTGCTGTAATCATAGCAGGTACCACCACAGTATGCACTGCTGTAATTATAGCAGGTACAACCACAGTCGGTATGCACTGCTGTAATCATAGCAGGTACCACCACAGTATGCACTGCTGTAATCATAGCAGGTACCACCACAGTCGGTATGCACTGCTGTAATCATAGCAGGTACCACCACAGTCAGTACGCACTGCTGTTAGATTTTTAAGAGTAGTTTTTAAATATTTTTTAAGACCCGGACAACGGCGGGTACTTTCCGCAAGTTATTAATATTATTATTTACATTAACTTACTTTTCGCAGGAGATACATCTCGGATGGTGAAAACATTGCGAGAAGAGATCCCACGGAGGTCTGTCTCCACTGCTGGATGACGGTTTGCTGTTCCCAACACCGTCATGGTGATGGCGTTGTTTTGAGGTGCGAGCGCTCTGTGAATCAAGAGGCGTCGTATAAACATGAGCGATACCTTGACCAACTCACTGTCGCACATGTCGTGATGGCGACTGTGTTGATCTCCCCAACCTAACACGTGGATCTTCGCTGACATTATGATTCTGACTTCCTAGAGTGTGTCCTGAAGATGCTTGACGCAGTTTCAAGCCAAACGTCGTCGCGTATGTAATCGCTGCCCGTGCTTTGTGAGAATGGTTCTTGAACTCTAACGGCGAGTGAGCTGAAACAGTAATAATAATTCGCCCGCTGTTCATTGCTTGTACACCCCGCGTGACGTTTTAATTCGTTTGGCTGTACCGGGTGGTTGAGGGTCTTACGACAAAAACTTGGTCAGATCATTTACGTGGCCTAACCCCAAAATCCATTTACGAGTATTTTAATATTGCCGTTTGTTGCCGGCGACTAGACGTTTCGGGCTTTGGGCCTGTCCCCAGAAACTGTGTACAAACGCATTCCAATGAGAACAGCCTTCTTGAGTCTCAATTCTCTCTTCCAGAGGAGTCTGCTCTTTCGGGATTGTGAGTCGCGAATGCCGTGAAAGAAGTGTTTCACACATGGACGGGAGCCGAAGTCGCCAGAGAAACCCGACCACCACGTACACGAGAGGGAGTTCGCTATCAAACCTCGACACTGATTGATTCAGGGAACCCACGGCTGTACGTGCATCTCATGGCCACATCCCAGGGGGAGAGTGGGGAGAGAGCACAGTAGAGAGAGAGAGAGCAAAGAGTACGAGTCGTGCGCAGCAGAGGATTTAGGGTGCTGATCACAACGCACTCAGCAAATGATCCCCTACTTGGCATGCGTGAACGCAGCTGGCACCATGAGGGGGAGGGAGAGGTGGAGGGGGTGGTGTAGGGGGTGGTGTAGGGGGTGGTGGAGGTGGTTCGTGGAGTAGGAGGGGGTGGGGAGGGGGCGGATGAGGGGGTGGTGTCGGGGGGGGGGTGTCGGGGGTGGTGGTTCGTGGAGGAGGAGGGGGAGGAGGAGGGGGCGGAGGAGGGGGCGGAGGAGGTGGTTCGTGGAGGAGGGGGTGGGGAGGGAGCGGAGGAGGGGGTGGTGGAGGTGGTTAGTGGAGGAGGAGGGGAGGGGGCGGTGTAGGGAGTGGTGGAGAAGCTGGAGGAGGAGGATGAGAGGCGCAAACTTAATTGGTTGCTCGTTAATTGCAGCTCATGCGTGAGAGAGGGAGAGCGATTGCGTGGGAGGCTGTCCACAAATGTCGCTGCCAACGCGTTCGTAAAAAATGTGAGATACGCGTTATCTATATATCTGTATAAATATACTAGTTGCAGCAGCTGCAGCCGATAGGGTGGAGCCTGGTGAATCTTCATCATTGTGTGACGGCTCTACGAAGAGAACTGCAACTGAAAAGTGCATAACGAAGTATGGAGAGATGCACACTTGGATTGGGGAACACAGGCGGATAGAGACCGCATGACTGGAGAAGAGTCAGCTTGGGCCAGGACATGAAGCGTGGAGGGCTAACGTGTGTATGTATGTATGTTGTATGTATGTTGTATGTATGTTGTATTTGTGTATGTTCTTTTGCACCGTACGTAGCCAGCCGTGCTAATCGGAGGTGCAACCGTCGTGCCAGACTGGCGATGGGGGAATGGCACCCAACGAAGAGAAGGCGCCCCGAGGAGATGGAGCGGGGAAATGGGCTCGTGAGCATGCTCGAGACGGATTGTGGCGTCGCTGAGCCGTGACGGATGAGCGACGGCGTGGGGAGGCCTTCATCCAGCAGTGGATGGAGCTCATCACTCACAATGACGACAACTTGACGTGGACGACTTCAGGTTTTTTTCAGGGCCGGGTATATTCCAAATACATAAAAACAAATCTAAATGTGCAGATGCTTATTTATTTATTTCTAGCCCGTTGTCCGCTGTAGGGGCCGCCGTCATCATTATTCTGGGGCCGCGCGACGCGGAGGAGGAGGAGGAGCGCTTAGGATTCTGGCGGCGACAGAGGCGGCAGAGGTAATGGCTCGGAAAATGTCGCGACCACAACGCGACCAGTGGGGGACACCCGCGGCGCTTCGCGGGGCGGGGGGTCTCGACAGCCACCCCCCCCCCCCCCTTCTGTTAATCCACTGCTGGATGAGGGCCTTGCCCTCCCCCACCCCGCGCCGTGCGGGTCGTGGTCATTGCTCGGCCACGCCTCGCCGAGAATCCAGGCTTCTGCCGCACTCCGTGGATGCCCACTGCGCGCTCCCCGCAGCGCGACTGCTCGACCCCAATAGAGCTGCGTATCTCGCCTCCAATCCATCGCACTCCGCGCACGAGAACCGGGCCGTGGTTGCACACGCGCCCCCCCTGCTCGTTCTCTCGGCTGTCTGACGCGGGGTTGAAAGCTCCATTAATGGGAACAAAAAAAGCAATGCGACTAATTCTCGAAGAGCCATCACCCTGTGCACTCTGGTGACGTCACTGAGGTGTCGCTTGCGTGCCGTTTAATTCGGCTGCGGTGTGAGCTAATGAAGCCTGTGGCGGGCAGGAATAGTCCCAACTCCAACCCTATAGCCCTAGCCCTGCACGTGATAGTCGACTCTATCTCCAATCAAATCCGTGACCTGATATCCATAACCCTATCGCCCACCTAAACCCGGTCCCTAAGCCAAACGATCTTTAACCCCCTCATCATCACTGCAACTGTCCAAACTCCCTCTGTCCGCTTCTGCCAAGGCGTGATGCTGTCTGCCACGTGACTTGAACTTGTAAATCTCGATTGAAAACTCATTGCTTAGAACTGATTTCTTGTTTAGTTGTCCTTTCCCCACACCTTCGATTAGCGCGATTGGCTACGTACGGTGCAAAATAAGTTCAACATGCATACGTACATACGAATGGAGTGTGGAGATATTCGCCTCACCGAAGTGGAAAACGTTCACCTGGCCAGAGCTGGCTCAACGGGGAAGCGAGCGGCGAGCAAATCTTGGTTGGGGGAGGCGGGGGGGCGGTGACTCAGCCCATCATCCCTCCCTCCGGGGTCGATATAATGGGGACCACTTTGTGTGGAAGTGAACGGTGGTTGCCCTCTGGATAGACCCGCCCGCGCCAGAGGAATGAGGAACTTCCACCACTGGCTGTGCAGGGCTTTAAACAGGAAGTAAGCTCATTTTTTCTCGACGCTCAGTTGAGCAGCAGGAGATGTGTGAGCGAGACAAGCACGCGGGGCTGCTCACTCACAGCTCGAAGAAACGGCGAACAACCTTGCGGCAGACTCGCCGCCTGGGCCCCATCGGCTGACGCGTGCACACCATGAAGAGCGGCCTCTCCCGCGTGGGTGGGGAGCGTGAGAATCGATTTTAATCGATGGATCGATAAGTCATGGCTGCATTTCCAAGACAATCAATAGGTAGATAATTCGCCTTCTTCACACGTCTGTTGTTTCCGCGTAAAAATACACAAGTTGTATTTTTTTACAAATCCCTGCAGCCACACTGCCTTCCTTGCAGGATGGGATAATTTCCACAGCATTGGGTTCAACACAAGAAAAACTCTGGACCTCCGACATTGTCTCATCATCATCATCAGCAGAGTCGGGCTCGCTCGCACAGAGTCCGTGTGATTGATTGATGGCCCGGTGCTCGCTGGCTCACTCCAGCCACAATCTCTCCCCGTCAGTCTTTCGCTTCCTCGTCACTCTGTATCGCTACTGCAGTCATCCCAGGAGTATCTGACGGATATTATCTTTTGTTAGGATGAGAATGATACCTGTAGTATGTGAGTATATTTATATAATATCACGTTATCAAATTCACCGTGGTGTACATTTCCTTGCGAAGATGTAGTGAACGTGCAAACGTATCTTTACACACACACACACACGCGCGCGCATAGATAAGTACATAAATAGCTCCCATTTTGCCTTAACAGGTTATTGGGGAAAATACCGAAAGCAAGGGCCTATAAAGGCCGGCATGGCACATGAAGGGGTGGTTGGCCAGGACCATGCCCGACCGCCTTTGTCTCCACAGTGGCAATGTTTACTCATCGCACAAGATACTCATTTGACACTGAGTCGACCGGGTCGCCGGGTTCGTAGTGCAGAGTGCTAACCGCTACACTATCGCTACCCAAAAGACAAGGACATGGGTTTGATCCGTGGGTGCCCTGTGCACGTGGACATACGTGTGGCCACGTGTGCGCACGTGGAGAGCGGTGGGTCAGTGGTTAGCACGCTGCGCTATAAACACGGCGATCCGAGTTCGATTACACGTTCGCGGCCAACATCGTTGACGAATATCTGAGCCGGGCCTGGGTCTTCTCTAGGTAGACCCACATGCACACCTCCCACGCACCTCACACACCTCCTCCCACCGCCATGCCCCACCCCACACACCTCCCACGCGGCCCTCCCACACACCTCCTCCCACGGTCATGCCCCCCCCACGCACCCCACACACACCTCTCATGTGCCCCTCCCACACACACGCACACACCTCCCACCTCCCACGCACCCCACACACACCTCCTACACACACACACCTCTTCCCACCACCATGCCCCCCCACGCACCCCACACACACCTCCCACGCGCCCTCCTTACACACACGCACACACCTACCACCACCATGCCCCCCACGCACCCCACACCTCCCACGCGCCCCTCCCACACACGCACACACCTCCTCCCACCACCATGCCCCCCACGCACCCCACACACACCTCCCACGCGCCCCTCCCACACACACACCTCCTCCCACCACCATGCCCCCCACGCACCACACACACATCTCCCACGCACACCCCCCACCTTCCATAGCCACGCACAGCTGTGGCGCGGCTGGGTCCGTGCGGACCGTGAGGGCGAGCGGCTGTGAAGCGGCCATCGAACGAACCTAGCTTCAGAGACCGGAACCCAAGTTCGCTCTGTGAGGTCGACCACAAATAAACCCCAAAACACATCGGTGATGGGCGGGCGGCGTGACAACAAATCTTACCGATCGGTTTATTTTGAGCCCTCGCCCGATCCATGAGAAGGAGGCAGTCCAGACCCTGATCCTGGCTCCCCGAGTCTCGACTTTGGACCCCTTAGGCTGCCGCTGAAAAATGAGCTCGGCGCTGAGACGCTACGTCTTTTCCTACCGACAGCCGGCGGCAGAAGCGAGGGGAATGAATTGAATCCTTGCCAGAAATTGCGTCCTGAGTTCTGTTGTTTGTGTGTGGGGGGAGGATGATGGGGGTGGGTGTTACAGCCTCTCGCGGGGCCTCAATCTTCGACACGCGGCCACAATGCAGCCGGACATTCGAATATTTCACTCGGAGAGTCCCTGAGTATGGAATACCTCGTAAAGTGTCAACCTCCAATGCTTTTCGGGCTGTTCCTCGCGTTGTTCGGCACGATGTCCGACGTTTTTCTCCACGTTCTTTCTCAGGAATCTAATCGAAGTACATCACAACACGTGGAGCGAAACGGCAGAAAAGTGATAGATTCGAGATGTATGTGCACGTGTTGGCTGTGTGCGTGTGTGCATGTTCATCTACACCCTCGACACGCTTATGACATGATTCCATGTCGAGGGTCTTTCCCGGTGAAATGTTTTAACTCACAAAAATATCAGCAGCAGCAATCCACCACTGTACGAAGGCTTCCCCACGCAATTTCGGCCAGGAAGGTTGTTTGACCATACTTCACCGCGCTGGTCAGAAGTGCAGGCTGGTGAAGGAGGTATAATCACTCGCCACTAATGTTAGCCGTGGCCATGAAGCAAATTCAAGTAAGCATACATCTTAACACATAGCACATGTACAATGAAGGAGTATTCCCCAAACGTCGGTTATTGTATGTTTTTTCTTAAAAGGTCAGATTTTTTTGACGAACGTTTGAGGATTGTTTTGTTTGTTATTTGTGATCGGGCACCACTGCCAACGCAGCAGCATCGCGCAAATAATTGGTTGAATCAAGAACACAGACTCGCCGTGCAGTGCGCGAACCACTGCGCACACCGCTCCCTACAATTGCACCTCCACCATCGCCAGCTCTCGTGGTGGGCAATCACCGCTGTCCCTGACGTCGACCCCCCACGCCTCTCACCTTCATCGACTTCACACGAAGCGGAGCGCTGTGTAGACGCCGAGGAGGACATGCCTCGAGACACAGAGAGAGACAAACAGAAACACACTGGGACAGACACTGCCAAAGAGTGGCTCCCACCGCTCCAGACTGATGCTGGAAGAGGGACGCAGAGAGACAGGCACAGACGCGAAGGGGCAGATTGAGGGACAGAGCAAGAAAGACGTGTACAGAGACAGACGGAGACACGGAGACGGACACAGACAGACATACAGGGACATTTACATTAAGAGGCACAGATATACACGGAGAGAGACACCCGGAGACAGAGATAGCCGTGTAAAAACACAAATAGGCAGGCATCGTAAAAGGCAGTGTCTCTCCTGTCTTCCACGTGCCTGTCTCTGTGTTTGTCTCTCGTCGTGCCTCTATATATAATGATACACGTGTATATATGTAAAGGCTTACACATACACCTTACATAGCCTACGGATAGCGTTTCATTGGCTTCATACACTTGATACCCGCGGCTTTAAATATATTCAAGGCTTGATATTAATTGAGCGCTGCTAAATGGCCAGTTAGGTGGCGCAGTCGCTAAGCGAGCCCAAGAGGTCCGCACGGGGTAGCAGCAGCGCTGTGCGGAGTCGAGCGCTGTCAGCGAGCACCTATTGCAGACGACAGGGCGGGCGAGCTGGCGGCGAGGCCAGAACCACGACGGGCTGACTGCGTTTGAGTCCCCAGGCAAGACGAGTGTGTGTGTGGGAGGTGTGTGTGTGTGTGGGAGGTGTGTGTGTGGGAGGTGTGTGTGTGGGAGGTGTGTGTGTGAGGTGTGTGGGAGGTTGTGTGTGGTTGGTGTGTGTGGGAGGTGTGTGTGTGGGAGGTGTGTGTGGGATGTGTGTCTGTGGGAGGTGTGTGTGTGGGAGGTGTGCGTGGGATGTGTGGGAGGTTTTGTGTGTGGGGAGGTGCGCGTGTGGGGTGTGTGGGAGGTGTGTGTGTGGGAGGTGCGTGAGGTGTGTGTGGGGAGGTGTGCGTGTGGGAGGTGTGCGTGGGGAGGTGCGTGTGTGGGGAGGTATGTGTGTGGGAGGTGTGTGTATGTGGCAGATAATCTCTTCGGTGTAGGAAATTTCAGCAGGACCTGTGTATTTGCTTTATTGACCTGGTCAAGACCTACGACACCATCAACAGGCCAGGGCTCTGCGTTTTTCTCCGTGGTTTCGGGGTCCCTGACTCTGCTCACAACCATTAAGGACCTTCACGATGGTGGACTGGCCTTGGTGAAGCTGTGTGGCCTGGAGTCGGAGCTATTTTCTGTTCACCTTGGCATCTGACGGGCATGTCCCGCGACTTCCTATCAGCCAGCCTTCGGCACTTCACGTGGCCTCCAGGTGAACCTAGCTTGGCACGAGCGCCGTGGTGACGTCCCCGCCCCTTCGTGGCGAACGGCGCTTGTTGTTGCTGTCGATGATGGTGATCTCTTCACGCAGCTTGCACACCGAGGCGCGCACGCACGTAACGAACAATACGATCGACCCAGCGGGACAACCCTTAACCTAAATATAGCCTGGCAGTTTAATTAACAAAGGATTGTCATTAGCCATCATTTCTGCCTTATAACACAACTGAGCAATTACCATTACGCCCACGCCTACACAAGTGTGTGGACACAGCCGCGAGGAGCGGTGGGGTAGCGGTTAGCGCGCTGCGCTACGAACCGGACCATCTGAGTTAGATTCCCGCTCACGGCTAACATCAGTGACGATTATCTCAACCGGTCCTGGGCCTCCTCTAGGTCGATTCAGCCTTAAATGAGTACCTGGTGCGGTGTGTAAACATCGCCACTGAGGAGACAAAGGCGGACGGGCGTGGTGCTGGCCACCCACCCCCTCGTGTGCCGCGCCGGCCTTCATAGGTGCTCGCTAACAGCACTTTCCCCAACAGTCTGTTAAGGCTACACGGGGGATCTTTGTCTTGTACACAGCCGCACACAGCCGCACACAGACACGGCCACGCGCGTGTGCGTGCACCTCGCGATGATCGCTGCATTACTGCTCCGCGCAATTGCTCCGAGTTGCAGTGACACCATTCACGGGGGGGGGGGGGGGGGGTAGTGAAGGAGGGGGATAAGGGGAGGGGGACAAGGGGGGTGCGAGGGAGGGGGAGAGATGAGATGAAGAGGGGTGCATGGGGAGGGCTGAGAGGGGAGGCGTGAGAGGGGAAGGGTCAGGAGGGAGGGATTAGAGGGGAGGGGTGCGAGGGGGTGACAGGGCGGAGTGTCTGGCCCAGTCGTTCAACCCTCCAACATTTCCCCCCACCCCTTAAACACCCCCCACCTCACCCCCACCTCACCCCTCTCCTCCACCCCTCCCCAGGATCGGTTGAGATTTCCTGATGTTGGCCGTGAGCGCAAATCGAACTCGCGTCACATGGGACGCAAACCACTGCGCCACCAATCGCCTCACACACACGAGCTGCGTGACTCTTTGGATCCGCAGGAAGGCATTCGAATTACTGTTATCACGACTCAAATTAATAAATAGCACCACTGCATACACTGTAAGTTATAAATACAATTATTGTTTTGGGAGTATTGTTCTAACAACTCATAATTATTTTTACCTACGTGACTTTACCGAATAGAACCAAAGAGTATCCTTGCAGTCACGAAAGCTTCAAATCTAGAACTCATAATGTATCCATTTATAGTTTAAAATACTCTCGGTGTAGGTGTATTGATAGTTTTGTATTAATATACCGTAGTTGGGGAATCATAGTGGAAAATTTCCACCACCTTCGTTATTGACAGCGATGGAGCGGTGGCGCAGTGGTTAGCGCAACTAAGTTTTATTAAATTCTGGCCACGGATAACATCAGTGGCGAGTGATCCCAGAACCGCGGCTGCGCGCCAACCGCCCCCACCTTTGTCCTGGACATAACAATAACAGCGGGGGTAGTGAAACTTTCTGTACGGACAGAGGATGTAAGTGGGCAGGAGCGACCCGCTGCGCGTGGAGCCGAGAGGAGGAAGAGGTTTTGTTGCCAATCTCCGTAAGCAGTCACGGCCCCGGGGGAGCTGTCACCGTTGCGCAACGCCCCACACGGGCGTCTCTCGGCCCCAAGACCTACTGGGGTATTGGGGAGATGCTGGCGAGGTATTGGGGAGGTATTGGAGAGGTATTGGGGGGGTTCCTCTCAGTGTGCGAGTAAACAAACCCCTACGGCGGGACGACTCCCACAGACAACACGGCAGGCGCGCACAGTGGTGGGGGGGGGGGGTAACTGTGGATGTGGTGGGGGGGTAACTGTGGATGTGGTGGGGGGGTAACTGTGGATGTGGTGGGGGGGGGGGGTAACTGTGGATGTGGCGCGGCGGGGAACAGCGCACAAAGAGACCTAAGAGAGAGAAGCTGACCCCTTGCGACTCGCTCGCCCCCCACCCCACTCGCTACCCCCCCCCCCACTCGTAACCCCCCCCCCCCCACTCGCTGTCCCCCCTCCCCACCCTACTCGCTACACCCCCCCTATCCCACTCCTTGCGACTCGCTGTCCTCCCCCCACTCGTAACCCCCCCACTCGCTGTCCCCCCCTCCCCACCCCACTCGGTACACCTCCCCTCCCCACTCGCTACCCCCCACTCGCTACCCCCCCCCCCACGCTACCCCCCCACGCTACCCCCCCACGCTACCCCCCCTCCACTCGTAACCTCCCCCCCCCCACTCGCCATCCCCCCCCCACTCGCCACCCCCACTCGCCATCCCCCCCCCACTCGCCATCCTCCCCCACTCGCCATCCCCCCCCCCCCCCCACTCGTAAGTTCAGCTAATGAAGGATGAGCTGTGTGTTATCGACGTGGGAGGAAACCGGAGCACACGGAGATAACCCACGCCTTGCGCGAGGGGGCAACACTCTATCCCCTATAGATGGACACAGGTGGCGAGTTGTCCACTTGCTCGCCTGCCTTCTCCTAGCGAGCCAGGGTATGGCACCTCCTCAACACCCACAACGTTAGTGCGGTGATCCACAAACTCGCTGCTGCCGCCACGTGTGTACGCACACACGTATGTTGAACTTATTTCGCACCGTACGTAGCCAACCGGCGCTAATGGGAGGCGATCCGCATCGCGTGACTCCACGCAGCTGCCACGTGCAGCGCAGCTCCCACTGCCGCCCGGCTGCGTTGCTGTGGACAGACACTCAAATGATAGTGGTGAAACTATAGGAAAAACAATATTGCATTTAATTCCGCCGATGAGACACTGAATGTGGAAACCGGTTCAGAGTTGTTTTCACGTATTAATACCAACGCATTATTATGAAATAAACGTACTTCGTGATCTTGATCATTGAATAATCACCGTCATCAACATTATCATCAGTGACTTACCATTAGCATAACACACGTAATAAGCGTAAAATAATCATTATCGGCGCTACACATTATCTTCTGTTACGTGTTATTAGAACTAACAGAGAGGGTCCTTGCCTATAACAATATGGCAGCTCAAATGCAGCAATGGTTCAATGAAGGCTGACTGCCGATGAGACACTGAACGTTGAAACCAGTCTTACGTTTTTTTTGTACTAAACAGGCTGCTGAATTTATGCACTCCCATCAGGCCGTGTAGCCGATGGAATGTGTAAAATAAATGAATGATGTTATCTTCTTTGGTTCTTTCGGTAAAGTCACGTAGAATGAGAATAAAATAATAAATTGATAAAATAAAATAACACAATAAAATTCTCACGACGTTTCGGCCACAACACAAGCGGCCTTCATCAGGTGAAGGGACGAGACTGTCATTCTACGTGACTTTACCGAAATAACCAAAGAAGATGAATCCTTGTAGTCACGAAAGCTTTAAATCGGAATGATGTTATGTGTTAATGTGGAGGGGCACGGGAAGGGGCGAATTATCTGCTTATATACTTCAACTTAAAGCATCCGGGAGTGTCCCAGCGATCTCAACAACGCTCGCATTCAAACACCCGCCTCTCCGTTCCCCTGTAAGGTAAGAAGCGGCGTTCGCTCTGCTCAATTAGCTCTTGAGATTAAAGCAAAAGAGTCATTAGACATCAGGGGAGCATCTATAAATGAATCTCCATGTATTACGACGCCAGGCAAGGGTTGTTAGATCACACAGAGGCGTGTGTCAAACCCCGTGCTGCGGAGTTAGTCCAAGTTTGTAACTGCAGCGTCCCCCTCCCTCACCCCCAACACCCCCTCCCTCACCCCCAACACCCCCTCCCCCCCACGCGCTCCAGGATCATTGAACGACGCCTTCCCTGTAACCAAAGCCGTGCAGTTCGCGTGCCCTTATTTGGTGTTTGGCACCACGTGACGCGGCTGCAGCGCTACCCGTGCCGCGCTAGGTTTTTTTCCACTGCCCCATGCGCCCCGACTCGCGACGCAACTACCTGGCCCCGGTGTCGCTGCTCTTGTGCTCTGCTGCGGCTACTGTTCGAGTCGGCGTTCACGTTTTGTCCTGGCGCCGCTATTTTCCTCGAGTCGATACGCAGCTTGAGCGGCGTTAAAGGCGAACTGGATAACGGCCTTACATGAGCGCGTGTTGTGTCAGTGCGCGCGCTGTATGGCTGTGTGTGCAGGCGCGCGTGTCTGTGCGTGTTTCTGTGGCTATAAGGGGTGGCTGTTCTGTGTGTGTGTGACCGCGTGTGTGTCTGTCTCTTAGGAGCGCCGATAAAGACCCCAGCACAGCCGATCCGAAAGGGTCGGCGCGTGTGGCGGCATTCATGTTCGCTCCGCGTGTCACCGACAGCCACGGGT